GGACTCAGATATGTTGCAATTAACTCAAAAGATATTAGTAGTAGTGATGATATGGTAGAATCCTCTATTGTTCTACTTCTAGTAGCAATATTTTACTAATCTAAAACTTATTATATGCTAATATGATGACTTATTTTAGGCGTGTTTGAGTTAGACTTTTAATTTTGTTACTTTGTTTTATTATGGATTTTCAAGATGGTTTATAATTTTACATATTTTTTTGAATTATTTCACAGTTCTAGTCTTGAGGCTTGAGCGTCACCTTACGAAGGTATGGCTCTTAGGGCTTTTTAAAATATACATATAAATGATTAAGGTCAAAGCACGTTATTCCTCCAAAAGTTTTAAGTTGCCTGCCTCAGTGCCGGAGTCTAAATGGCTGTCAAGAGGGAGGACCTTGCTGGCCGCTTCAACATCAACAGCTGCCTCATTCCCTGAATTTGTAGCCGAATTGACTTCTTGCCCATCCAGATCATCTTCATTAACAATAGGAGAAAGAGGTAGCTCATTCCCTTGGTGAATTTTAGTAACGGCTCGAGATGGAGGCTTGAAACGTGATAAATCTTGCCTGAAGTTTGAAAGAGATGCCAAAATTGAAGCACCAGCTACAGCTGATGCATCTCCTGCTCGTCTCTCAGCATGAATCAACTTTCCTAAGCTCTGAACATCTGGTGGAGGCGTCTTGATTACATAGTCATTGTGTTGTAGCTTAAAAATCTATATGAACAAAATTAAGGATATTCCACGTGGACAAAGAAAACAAAACATAACTTAAAAATAAATGAGAAATGAAAATCAACAAGTAACAACCGCAAACAAATATGAAGGATACATAAGCATGATTCCCAAGAAACCCAAAGACCACCTCATCCCCTGAGTTGAGCTCACAATTAGTGTTTTTCTTAATCGTCTTCCCATTCACTTGCACACATCCTTTGCTACCTCTGCTTTCAAGAACTGCGATAGATTTCCCCTCGTGCTGATCATGTTCCACAAACAATTAGTACTCAAGTGGGATGTTGACAAAATGAAATTCAAGTGGATGCAAA